ATGGGGAGAGATTGTCTGCAAGTCACCCCTGTTGAGATCCCGCTGGCAGTCCAGACAATCATTGTGCCAAGTCTCTTTGGATTAAAAACAGCCCCTTCACCTCCATGATGTGGGCGGTCGGAGCGTCCATCACAGAGTCTGAACGGCCACAGGATAGAGCAAGGAGAAATGTTCCACTCCCTTGACCGGCAGTTCCTGGGATGTGTAGTAATGGATGACCTCCGGGATGCTGTCAAAAGGAGCGCTGTTTTGGCCCAAGACGTACTTGTTCTCCTTGGTCCGAGTGAACTTCATGTGCATAAATCCTTGGCTACTCCTTGCAAAAGAAAAAAGAAGGGGAAAGTCAAAAGCCCGAACTGATATCATTTTGCACATCTTCTGCATCAAAGGTAGGCAACGAACTGCATGTAACCTCTTTCTTTGGACCCCAGGACTGTAAATAAAATTCTCCAAAATTCTCAAAAATGTTCCCTTGGGATGTGGGGAGGACATTCCTACCATGTTTGGAAGCTATTTATGCCTCCATCCCCTAGGATCAAAATGCAATTTTGCTCCAGTGCAAATCTAGTCAGTCTTTCAGTTGTTCCTCTTTCCCTGTGCATTGGAAAAGAGGCATGGGAAATACCTTTCCAGCATGGCATAGTGGTTTGAGTGTTGGACTATGACTCTGGAGACCGGAGTTCAATTCCCAGCTTGACCATGAAACCCACTTGGTGACTTTGGGCAAGTCACATGCTCTCAGCCTCAGGGGAAGGCCAGGACAAACCTCCTACGAACAAATCTTGCCAAGAAAACTCCAGGATAGGTTTGCCTTAGGGTCGTCATAAGTCGGAAATGACATGAAGGCACACAACACACACACACACACACAAGAAAAGGCCTGTCGTAGCTCACCAACAGAGTGGGGCTCTGTGCCAGAGGGAAAAGGCATTTTTAATGTCGGCTGGGTCTGACAAAGTCACAGGGACATGACAGGCCAAGCCCTGGAAGCCAAGGGACGTGGCTTGGTGTGACTGAAGCCCCGGAGGCTGAGCAGTGGAGAGAAGTGAGAACGCAGAGCACTGACCTTTTCATGGTGGATTATAACTCAAATGTCACACGCGGTTTCTCCCTCTTCACTGTGATACTCAGGGATTTGCCCTGATGGGGTGAACAGCTGCATCAAGAATGCAATGGAGAATTTAAGCCTTGAGTTTTATGCTGAACTTTACAGATCCAAGGTGGAGATCTGCAGTCAAGAGGTGAGTCTGGATGCTCTCCCTATCCCATTAGGATTCCAACCACTGAACCAGTCAGGGGCATCACTAGGGGAATGTGGGGGGTTCAGACCACACTGGGTAACACCTCAGAAAGGGATCTCACCCAGTGGAAGGGGACTGCCTTCCAGGTCCAGCCATTCTGCTGGCCAGGCAGAAAAGTGATTCACCTCCCTTTCCTGCCTGGCCAGCAGCTCTACCAGACCCAGAAAAGGCTGCTGAAGAGAGGAAGGAGGTATTTTTTAAAAAATGATCTGCACCGAGTGTCAAATATACTAGGCATGCATCAGTGGTCTCACCAGGGTTGGTGTCACCACAGTGCCAGGCCAATGGTCCATCAGGAGTAGATCAGGCTGCTATGGAAAAGAAAGGCTCCGGTCCACAAGCCACCGGGTGGCTGGTGGACTATAGAGACCCAAAGGAACTGTTTGTGTCCCAGGTTGTTCAGTCTAACTGCCCTGTTTGCAAATCCCAAAGATGTCCAGGCACATGAGAGAAGCCTCCAGAAGTTTGCCGTGGTATACCAACAGTGTCCTGTCTGGCCTCCTTGCTGCCTCTGGGCAAGTGGACTGGGTCCTTGCTAGGGCCTTCAGTCTCTGGGAGTCCCAGTCTACCCATGGAGAGATGTGGTGGTACATTCCACACTGGAAGGCAGACACCCCCTTCTGAAGTGTCATCTAGTGTGGTCCACATACTCCTTACTCCCCAAGTGATGCCCCTGTGCTGCAAGACACTGCCTTTTCCATCACTGCCACCCACAATTGTCACACATGCACATAGAAGGGCCAGCTCAGTTGCTTGTTGTTGATGCAATGTGAGCCAAGGCTTTCACAGGAATGGCTCGAAGCAATAAATATTTCATTTTGTTCGTGTGAGGATCAGAGACACACAAGTTCCCACTTCCCTCCTGATCGCTTTCTTTCTCTCTCTGATTTCAAAGCTGGTTATCAAATATTTATCTCAACACCAGGATGCCAGATAAGATAGACACTCTGGGTGCCTCTGGGGCATCTCAAAACAGCGTGGCAACACCTTATTTCCCCTTTAAGGGCCGAGGGACTTCAGCTCCCAGAAGCCTCAGTCATGTTGGCCAATAGTCCCATGTTGGCCAATAGCTCCTGGGATTCTGGGAGCTGAAGTCCCTCGGCCCTTAAAGGGGAAAGGTTGCCTACTCCTGCCTTATTCTTTCCACCTCACATGTCCTGTGATCAGCAGTTCCATAGGATTGGGTCTTACATGGTTCCACCAGGGAGAACTGAGGTACAAGCAATCTGGTAGGATTTGGTGGATAAGTGAGTGAAAGGAGGATGTCCAGAAAAGGGTGATCAAAATGGTGAAAGGTCTGAAAACCACCAACGAGGAGCAACTTAGGGACCTGGGGATGTTTAGCTTGGAGAAGAGAAGGTTAAGAGATGGCATGATACCCATGTTTAAACTTTTGGAAAAATGTGTCCCATGGGTGACATATGTCCCCAGGGCCATTTTTGAGGCACCAAATTGTTCCCCAAATCACTCAGAATTGATTTCTGGGTGTGATGCCTGGTGATGTCATGTCAGTGGGGTGGTAAATCCATTCCAGATTTTCATTAAATTTGAAGGAACTGTCCAAGGTGCTGAGCAGAATGAGGAATGGGATTCAGCACCTTGGAGAGCCCTTTAAATCCGGCATTAAAACCTGGAGCGGATGTATTATTCCGCTGACATGGAAGCCACCATCTGTCTTTTGGTTCCCAAAACATCTGGGGAAATGGTGGTAGCGCAGCCCGCTAAGAGTGGGAAGGAGCTAAAAATGGCCCTGCAACTCTCTGGTTTAGGGGCAACCTTACTCATTTTTTGTATGGGTGGCCTTGGACTCATGTCCTAAAGTGCCACCCACTTGACACTGCTGTCCTTTGGGTCACCACCAAAAAGAACCTTCTTCAAGTTCTTTGCTGACACTTACCTCTGTTTTAAGATCCTGATTCAGAGACCCAGGCAAGGGCAGACATGCCCAAAAGTAGAAGGGAAAAGGAGGTGCCCTTTTACCTGAGCGAAAGGGAGAAGTCGTTGCGACTGGTCTCGCTGTTCCGGACCAAGTAGCTCCCTTCTTTGCAAAGTGTCAGGAGGGACTCCGCATCAGCTCTGCTTATTGTGCCGTGGAACCACCTGTTGGGCAAAGATACAAGGCAAATTGGATCATTGCATGCCAATTCTCTTCTCTTGCATTTCTGAATCTTGAACTATTCCTCTTCTTGCAACTACACCTTTCAGCCAGAGGAAAAGTGGAACTTTGGGCTGAATTCAGGACTGTCATTGAATTTTAGATTATTATTTTTAAATAAGAGGTATTTTTAAATAAGGGGTCATTGAGACTCATCTCATGCTTGGGGCATGGATATCACAACTCCAGCATCCCCAAAAGTCACCCAGCCTCTGCTTAAAAGAAAGAGATCCCATCACCTCGAGTATCCATTCCAATATGATTTGCTTGTACCATTGGGCTATCTGTTTCACTGAACTTGACCTCTCTCACACACTTGAAGACTGAGCACTAATCTATACCAATTTATGTTAAATGGATCTTCTTTCCATGAGTGACTGATAACTCCAGACTGATCCAGAGCATGGATTAGTTCTGGGCATAAAGTCAGCCTACCGAAAACAAGAAAGATATGCTAGTGAAGAAACCTAAACAGCAAAGCAATCTATAAGAAACCCAAGAAAAGCACTGCATTAAAGTGTTACTGGCTGATGCAATCAATGGTATTGGGTTTCTTTCCACAACAACCCTGCCAGGTAGCTTCACCAAAGTTCTCATCTTATTAAAAAAAATGATGAAGATGAGGATGAGGGTGGGGATTATATCAATCTTGTTTTCTCCGCTGATTACAGCAGTTAAGACAGACAGATGATAGAAGAAAGAAAGAAAGAAACTTGATAGATAGATAAATTGATTGTTTGATAGATTTATTGATCAATCTGGAGATATCCACCAAGGCTGGTGGGATGGATGGACAGATGGATGATTGATCAATCAATCTTGGGGTATCTACCAAGTTCTAGGGGTATCCACCAAGACTGCTGTGACAGACAGAAAGATAGATAGATAGATAGATAGATAGATAGATAGATAGATAGATAGGATTGATCAATCAATCTGGGAATATCCATCAAGCTTTGGGAATATCCACCAAGGCTGCTGGGATAGAGTGAGGGATAGATAGATAGATAGATAGATAGATAGATAGATAGATAGATAGATAGATAGATGAGCCTAATTGCAATGTGTCACATTATCGGATGATAGCTCACTTAGATTCTAGATTCTAAAAATAGATAGATAGATAGATAGATAGATAGATAGATAGATAGATAGATAGATAGATAGATAGATAGATGCACCCACATACATGTAGACTATTTTAAATGTTCATATGAGATACCTATATTGATCTGGTTGGCCAGGGAATTTGATATATGTTTTCTGCCTATTCTCCTTCGCCACACACACACACACACACACACACACACACATCCATCAGCTGATGTTTTTCTGCAGCTGTAAAATCAGGATTTATTGCAGTCTCTATAGTCCCTGTTTTCCCAATAATTTTGGTCAATAGCAGCAAACAAGAAAAATTGCAGTTGGAAGAAACTAATTAAAACATCAACAATTTCTCAGGAAATGTGCTGGCAAAATAATAAGAATGCTAATAATTACTTTTGAACAGTCAATAAAACACAGAGAGTAATAGCCTTTGAAGGGGCCAGTGTGATGTAGTGGTTTGGGTATCAGACTACGACTCTGGAGACCAGGATTCGATTCCCTGCTTGGCCTTGGAAACCCACTGGGTGACCTTGGGCAAGTCACAGACTCTCAGCCCCAGAAATCGCATGATAGGTTCACCTCGGGGTTGCCAAAAAGTCAAAACCATCATAGGGTTTTCTTAAGCAAGGATGCTTAAGGAAGTGGTTTGGCCAGTTCCTTCCTTTGAAATTATACATTGACCACCAACTAATACTACCCAAAAAATCCTTCTACATCTAACAAAATATTAGTTATTATTCAAAGCCATATATTGAAAGATATATTGAAAGATGGCCTCATTTTTTGTTTTTTAAAATGTAATAAACAGTTTCCAATCTTTTTTTAAACGAAAAAGATTAATCAGGGATTTGTCCTTGATTAACATTGTCAGCTGATCGATTTCAGCATCCTCCATTAATTTAATTTAAAAGTCTTCCTGGGTTGGTAAGACAGAGTCCTTTCATTCTGGAGCAAAATTTATTCCCGCAGCTGTAATCATAGACTGCACAACTTCTTCTTTAGTTGATCTTTTAAGATCCCCAGTAAAGATACACTGAAGCTCCCAAAACAGAAGAAACCAGAATTATATTTGGACAGTGGGCTTTCTTATCCAGTCCTTAAGCAATTGATGCAGTGGTTTAGGCTTGCTGGCATTTGCTCATACTGCTGCCATTGCAACCCCCTGACATGCCGTCTCACACACGCAAATACCTACATGGGCCACCATCACTTACGCTTGATTTTCCAGGGGCAATGAAGGGTCTACTCTTTCAGCTGCAGCAAGGCTATGTTCGGGGCTCTGAGACCGTCCAAACTTCGAACTCCCCGCTGGGTGCTTTGGTGGACGCCAACGCTCTTTGTGTATGGAAGAGGCTGAGGACGTCCGCTCCCATTCTGAGCTCTCAAATTGCACTATAATAAGTGGGTGCAGGTGGGATAAAAAGAACAGAAGAGTCCATAAGAAATGCAACAACAAAGATCTTTCACAAGGTTGGGCATCATGCAGCCTTCCAGTTGGCCTCGGACTGCCAATCCCAACATCCCTGTGGAAGCCAGGGCTGATGGGCCCTGCAGTCTTTTCAGAGGAGAACCTTTCAGGGTGCCTTTCAATTTTATCAAATGCTTTGTGGCTTGTATCCTACTTTTAGTCCCGACTAGAGCAGCGGTTCCCAACCTTTGGTTCTCCAGAAGGTTTGGACCTCAGCTTCCATAACTCCTGACTGTTGGTCAAGTTGGCTGGGGCTTCTGGGAGCTGCAGTCCAAGACAAAGAGAAGACTAAAGGTTGGGAACCATTGGACTGGAGGATAAATGTTGAATCCATAGGATTTTCCTGCATGTTGAGTCTCCATTCAACGATTGATGACACAGGGCGACTAGTTGGGAGTCAACCAAGAGGATTCTAACTTTGCCTTACTGACATTTTATTTTAAAAATGGCAAAACTAAACGTCTTGCATGGCTCTCTTTTTCCTGACTTCTCCTTGGAACAACCCTGTGAGGGAGGTCAAACAGAAAGAGTAGGAAGCTAGGGAGAACATCTGCTCTAAGGTCATCCAGTGTCATGGTTCAGTGAGAACTTGATCTCCCAACACTCCAACACCACAATATCTCTTTTTGATGCTCAAATCATACTGTTCAAAGTAATTTGAAGGGGAGAGTTGGGGATGTGTTAGTGAGAGGTTGTGGTAAATGCACAATCCCAGAGGTACAGGATGGAACACAACAAAGTCAGACCTTCACATGCAACCCAAGATAACAAACACAGAAACAGAGAGAAAAGACATAAAAGAGAGACAACCAGAGATGGGTGCATGTAGGGAGTTGGGAGAAAGTTTGGGAAGTTAATTTTTAGAAGTAATTTGTAGAATCATAAAATCAAAGAGCTGGAAGGGAACACAAGGGCCAACTAGTCAAACCCCTTGACTTTCTGGATTGTTGCTGTTGTTGCATATTCAAGTCATTTTTTACTTACGGTGCCCCTAAGGTGAACCTCTTATGGGGTTTTCTTGGCAGGATTTGTTCAGAGGAGATTGGCTATTGCCTTCCCCTGAGGCTGAGAGAGTGTGACTAGCCCAGGATCACCCAGTGGGTTTCCATAGTTGAGCAGGGATTCAGTCCAGAGTCCAGACTCCAGAGTCTAATGTCCAGATTCATAGTTTAATGGTCAAATCACTACACCACATCGGCTCACAGATAAACACATCTTCAGGATTATTATTATTATTATTATTATTATTATTATTATTCCTTTTAAACAGAGGCTGGAAGGCCATCTGTTGGGAGAGCTTTGATTGTGTCTTCCTGCATGGCAGAATTGGGTTGGATTATATAGCGCTTTAGGGTCTCTTCCAACTCTGTGATTCTATGATTATTATTATATTTATATCCCACTTTCCTCCAAAAATTGGGATTCAAAGAGGCTAGCAATTTAAAAGAACAATACAATTAAAAACATACCAAAATGTAGCATGAAAATAGAATCAAACTTCTTGCAGCACTAAAACAATCCACAGCTCAGTTTTTTTAAAATGCAATTAAAGATGTTAAAATGCTCTTAAAAACAGGTTCATGGAAACCACCAGCTCCCATTGTCCACATCTAAGACATGATGGGAGCTGCAGGACAACAATACATGGAGGACTGCATTGTTCCTGTCCCACCATAAGGAGAGGAATGGGGAGACACTGTCACGGGGCAAGCCAGACCTGCTGAATCTCTGTCTGCCTTGTTTTAAATTATTGGGGATATACCAAGCTGCCATTCTACTAATCAATCTAGAAACCAGAGCTGCAGGAAAAGTCAGGAGAGGTATCCTCCACAAGGAAGAAAAGGAAGACAGTGGTTCAGAGAGAGGGGAGACAGGCTAAAGGCAAGCTGGGAGACAGAGGAAGCTTTAAAACAAGACATCACCTTCTGGATCTAGGGCTTCCTCACTCTCCGTGAGTTGTCCTACCGGTGGTGGCCAGGGCAA